AGGCAGTGATTCGGTTATGATATATTTCAATAAACTGAAGCGAAAATGGGAAGAATATGGCTGCTTAGTACCTCATTTGATCTGCAAATGTGACATTGGAAAGAAAGTGGATGAGCAACACCAACAGAATAAGCTCATGCAATTTTTAATGGGACTAAATGAGAGCTATGATCATGTCAAAAATCAGGTATTACTAATGGATCCTTTACCCTCTGTCAGCAAAGCTTATTCTATGCTCCTATCTGCTGAAAGACAGAGGTCAGTGCAGCTCGTTGGTGATGACTTTAACTCAGGAATGGCAATGGCTTTTAAAACTAGTGCATCTTTTGGAAGGGGTAATGGCAGTAGGATACCTAGTGGACAACCTTCTTTTGGTAGAGGAAGAGGAGGACAGAGGTTATCTAAAGAAGAAAAGGCCAAATTAGTCTGTGATAATTGTGGATGGAAAGGACATGAAAAGGCCACATGTTTTAAATTGCATGGTTATCCTGATTGGTTTAAGGAGATGAGAGATACCAGGATGAAAGGGTTGGCTAATGTGGTTGAGGTGAAAGAAAATAATCAGACAAACCTTGGGGCTGGTTGTAATTCAGTACATGATATATCTAAGTTAGCTCAAGAAGTGGCTAAAATTCTTGGTAAAGGCAATAGAGAAGGGAGAGGAGGTCATCCATTTGCTGAAGATGACCATTATGTAAATTTTGCCACAAATGAGCAGGATTATGCACTGTCTATGTATGATAGTGTTGAAGGCAAAGCTTGGGTGATTGACACAGGTGCAAGTAAACATATGTGCACAGACAAGGCTCTTATGAAAAATATGGTGAATTTATCAAAGCCAATCACCATTTACCTACCTGATGGGAGTATCAAAGAGGTACTTGAAATGGGAGAAGTAGAACTTACAAAGGATTTAACACTGTGTGATGTGTTATTCATACCTTCATTTAAATATAATTTGCTCTCAGTTACACAATTATGTGCCTCTTCAAACCTGAAATGCACTTTCACTTCTAGCCAATGCATATTTGAGAATGCACTGACAGGGTTAAGAATGGCATATGGAAAACTGGAAGGGAAACTATATATATTAGCAGTTGAGGAAAAGCACAAAGAGAGACAAATGGCTTGCAGTGTCTCTCTGGAACAGTGGCATAAGATTCTAGGGCATGCCTCATTTGGTGTGCTACAGCATGTTAACTTCTTGAAGGGTTATTGCAATGAGAAGAATGCACTGAAAGATTGTGAAATCTGCTTCAAATCTAAACAACACAGAACCCCATTTCCTTTGAGTAAGATTCAGTCAGAAGGGATATTTGAGATGATCCATGTAGATATATGGGGACCATGCAGAGAGGACAATCTTACAAACACACCGTACTTCTTGACTATTGTTGAAGATTATAGTAGGGCTGTTTGGATTTACTTAATGAAAACAAAAGGGGAAGCAGTGGGACACATTGAGAAATTCCTGATGATGGCAAAGACTCAATTTGGAAAAATAGTTAAAAGGATGAGAAGTGACAATGGGTTAGAATTCATTGGGCAGGAATGTCAACGGTTGTTAACTAAGAATGGGATTATTCACCAGAAGAGTTGTGCATACACACCCCAACAGAATGGGGTGGTAGAGAGAAAACACAGACAACTTTTGGAGATTGCAAGAGGATTGTTGTTTCAATCTGGTCTGCCACTTTTATTTTGGAGTTATGCAGTGTTGACTGCAGCATTCATAATCAATAGACTTCCCAGCTCTGTCTTGGGATGGAGTACACCTTTTGCTAGAATATATGGGAAGGAGGTTGACTACAGCAAATTGCAGCCCTTTGGATGTCTGGTTTATGCTGCCAATACTTCACCTCTCAAAGGTAAATTTGACACTAGATCTCACAAATGTGTGTTCATTGGTTATTTGGTGGGATGCAAAGGGTATTATTTGTATGACCTTGAAGAGGGAAAGAGATTTGTCTCCAGAGATGTTGTGTTTTTCCCAGGAACTTTTCCTTTCCAGTCTGAGCCAACTAAAGTGGATTCCTCAGTCACTCCTTTACCAAGAAGTTTTGAATATCAACCAGAAGTTCCTGCCACTACATCAATTTCCTCAACAACAGCTTCTGCACCTATTTCATCTTCCACACCAAATGAGCCAAGGGAACAAATGGACAATGCAGTGCTGAGATCACAAAGAATAAGGACTAAGCCAGCATGGATGAGAGATTTTGTTTGTCATAATGTTGATCAGGAACAAGACACAAACACAAACCAGTTTTTGGCCAACCTAGCACATGATGATGAACCACTCAGCTATGAGCAGGCTAAAACCAATGCCAAATGGGTAGAAGCTATGAACTTGGAGTTAAAGGCTTTAGATGACAATCAAACATGGACAATGTGCTACCTACCTCCTGGCAAGAAAGCTATAGGGTCTAAGTGGGTCTACAAAGTCAAAAGAAAAGCTAATGGAGAGGTGGAGAGATATAAAGCACGGTTGGTGGCTAAAGGTTTCAACCAAGTGGAAGGTGTGGATTTTTTTGAAGTTTTTTCTCCTGTTGCTAAGCTAGTTACAGTCAGGATGTTTATTGCTTTGGCAGCAATGAAAGGATGGAGTCTATGGCAACTTGATGTGAACAATGCTTTCTTGCATGGTCACCTCAATGAAGAAGTCTTCATGAAACCTCCACAGGGATACACAGGTTTTCAGGAGGGGCAGGTATGTAAGCTCTCTAAGAGTTTATATGGATTGAAGCAAGCATCTCGAGAATGGAATTCAGAGTTATCCAAGAAGTTGATTTCTTTTGGGCTAGAGCAATCTTCTCAGGATCATTGTCTTTTCACACAACAAAAGGATGGGGAATTCTTGGCAATGCTTGTGTATGTAGATGATGTTCTACTCACAGGTTCTTCACAGCATCTTATGAGTGGACTGAAAGCTTTCTTACACAAAGAGTTCACAATTAAGGACCTGGGAGATGCTAAGTATTTTTTGGGGATTGAACTCACAAGAACTGATGAGGGACTTGGCTTATGTCAGCAGAAATACATTAAAGATTTGGTAATGGATCTTGGGTTACAAGACTGCAAGAAGCCTCACACTCCACTTCCACATGGCATAAAGTTGTCCAGCTTTGATGGCAATCCTATGGATGATCCAGATCAGTATAGAAGGATTATTGGGCGGTTATTGTACCTCAACTTAACTCGGCCTGACATTAGTTATGCCGTCCAACAGCTCAGTCAATTTGTTACCAACCCCTTCACAAATCATATGACTGCTGCCCTTCATGTGGTTAAATACCTTAGCGGTACATCGTCTCTTGGGCTTTTTTACACAGCAGGTGGCAGCTTTGACCTTACCTCCTACTGTGATGCTGATTGGGCCGCATGTAAGAACACGAGGCGCTCTATCACTGGATATTGTGTGTTCTTGGGTTCAAACCTGATTTCCTGGAAGAGTAAAAAGCAGACGACTGTCTCCCGCTCCTCGGCCGAGGCAGAATACAGGGCTATGGCAGCCACTGTCTGCGAGTTACAATGGGTGCATGCGGTTGCAGCTGTTTTTCTTCTCACTCCAAGTCTGCCTGTTACGATGTGGTGTGACAATCGGGCTGCGATGCACATCACAGCGAACCCGGTCTTTCATGAACGTACTAAACACCTCGAAATCGATTGTCATGTTGTTCGTAATAAATTCAAGGAAGGTTTTATCGAGCCACGCTATGTACCTACTCATGCTCAGTTTGCAGATGTGCTCACCAAGATTCTCCCAGCTGCGCATTTTGCTACTTTGATCTTCAAGTTGGGCATGGTCTTCATCAACCCTGCTCCAACTTGACGGGGGGGTGATGAACATATGGTCACTATGAAATGCTTGTTTTATCCTTTTTCTTATTTCCTATTTTTACATGATGTACTAGTTAAGTGCAAACGACATCGTATTGGCTTTATGTGTAAATTTGGACTTTGAGCGGGCTTATAAATTGAACCGCGGTTTGAATGAAAAGGACGGTTCTGGAAATTATCAGAAAAAAATATCTTTCGAGTTCATTTTTTCTTCAGAATTCAATGCTAACTCCACAATTTACAAGCCAAACATAATCGCAAGAGAAAAAAAGAAGAAAAATAAAAGACAATAAACATAATGAGCAATAATTGAAACAATGTTAATTTTCATTCCCGCATATAAAGACAAAAATGACCAGAAATATTTGAAGCGACATTAATCTTACCTTTGTGCGTGTGCGTGCGTATAGAGAACGTTAAAGGACAGAGAGAATGTATTAAAGAGATGGCGATTGATGGTCTAAAATATCACGAGAGGACCTCCATTTCCATTGTAAGAGATTGTTGTGATCTAGGATGTTTTTGTGCTGAATTTGTATGTTTTTCCTTGTCTGGATTGTGTGTGAGGTTATTGCTGTGTCTTTGTGGGAAATGGGAATGAAGAAGAGGAGACGGAGAGTTGGAGAATGATTCTGCGAGTTCCTCGTTTTGGCGCTACAAAATAGGAAACAAGCACTTCAATTTATTACTACATGTGTGAATGGATAATATTCGAAAATATTTAAATATATTTGTTCTTAAATAATAGAAGAGTTTGGGTCTGAAATCAAGCCCACGAGAGTTTGAGAAAATATTGGTTTTATAGCGGGCCAGACCAATAGTTTGGGTCCAAAACCAAGCCCAGCAACAGAGAATAAATGGCTTAAAATTAGGGTTTCTTTACCGCGTCAGTCTGTCTTTTACATCAGAATTTCGAACATCGCTACAAATTAATGAATTTTTTAATAAATATAAATTGGATTTTTCTCAGCCAAGAAAACGGCATGTTTGATTATTCAGAAGGCCAAACCAAGCTGCGGGCATGAGCATGGAAACGTGGACAAAATCGAGAAGACGTCAAAGCTGGAGCCTTTTTCTCTTTTACAGTCTCATTCATTCCAACGATTTTGGAACTGAGACCTAGCAGAAGTACAGAGCCGTCGGAGGAAATCTTTTTCGAGATGAAGAGTAGTGTGGAGGAGTTCACGGCGGGCTATTACGGGCTGTGCGCCGCCGGAGGAATGCTCAGCGCCGGCACTGCTCATCTCGCCATAACCCCTTTCGACGTCTTGAAGGTCAAAATGCAGGTTATCTCTCTCCCCATGATAGCCATCGTGCCGCCATTTCTTTTAAGTAGAGCTAATTTTATAGTTATCTGTTTCTTGGTAGCGATTATCATAAACTTGTTAGTGATGAAAGTGTAATTTAGCTGATCAATGATCATGAATATGATTTCATAGTTTCTTCTTTCAGACAGTGTTTCTTTATCTTTTTGGTTGAAAGTCCTAAAGATACAATTTTATTCTTCTTGTAAGAAAAGAGATGGTTTTTTTTTTTTTTTTTATTTTATTTTTTTATTTTATAATGCTGTATTTAAGCTTCTTGTTGCTATATGTGCCGCCTTCCAATCTTTTCAGGTGAATCCAGTGAAATACCATGGCATTCTATCAGGCTTTAGTACTCTGTGCAGAGAAGAAGGTGCTTCTGCACTTTGGAGGGGTTGGTCAAGCAAACTCTTCGGTTACGGCTTACAAGGTGGCTTCCGATTTGGTCTTTACGAATATTTTAAGACCTTATACAGTGACATACTGGTGGATCAAAACAAGGGGGTCATATTCTTTCTCAGTAGTTCGTCTGCTCAAATATTCGCCGATATTGCTCTTAGCCCTTTTGAAGCTGTCAAAATACGAGTTCAAGCACAGAGGAATTTTGCCAAGGGCTTGGCTGATGGGTTTCCAAAACTTTATGCTACCGAAGGATTTTATGGGTAATTATTGAACTGCAGATTTTTATGTAGGCGCCTTCTTCTTGCCCTGTGCTGACATGTCATGCTCTTGCCGTTAAATTTTTGTTGCAGATTCTACAAGGGTTTGCTTCCTCTTTGGGGTCGAAATCTGCCATGTAATGTCCCTATAACTTAGATAACTTCTTTTACTTGATTAGCAATATGTGGTTGCATGGTTTATCCTCTACCATTTTGATTGTAAAGTTACCACTCCTTATTTGTTGAGAAGATAACATACGGGAAGGGCTGATTTGCAGACGAGGAATTAGCATATCGACTCTCTTTCATCCTTCCCATTCGTAGGCAAGAGTAATATCTTGATGTTTACAGATTGGAATTTCCTGGAGAGATTATTTTTAGTTTATATGTAGACTTTAGCTTGTGTTTCACTGACCCTTTTCCAAGTAATATAGAGACGAGTTAATCATCTTGTAAACATGCCTCTTCTTTTAAGTACTTAATACCTGATTTTCTGAGCATCTATTGATTCTTGGGCTAGAGTATTAGTTTTATGTATTGCTTTTCACGTTCTGAAGTTATAGTCCTTGACGATTCAAGGCGTTCGCTTTGGACCTGGTGTCAACTTTACAACTGGTGGTTTTTAACAGAATAAGAATAGGAATTTGAGCCAGACTTTATCATCCATCGTGCTTGTTTTGGTAATTAGAAAACTAGCGAATGTTCAAAGAAGAAGCTAATTTAATTTTATCCAGCTACCATTTTCCTTTTTAAATGATAACTCCAAATGCAGATTCCATAAAAAAGTGATGGAGACATTATGATGTATATAGCCTTGGCACATTTAATCTTCATATTGTAAATATTTTAGCTATTATAGGCAGGAATGCTTTTGATATTATGTTATATCTAACTTATGAATGCCCATTTATGCTGAACAGATCTATATATTTCCCAATGTGGAGTTTTCACCTCTGACTAATAAAGTGTAGTTGGATGGATCATCTTGTATTATTTCCATATCAATAATATGAACTTTCTAAATACCATTGGCAGTCTCCATGATAATGTTTACAACATTCGAGCACTCTGTGGAGCTAATATATAAGAATGTCATACGAAGAAAGAAGGAAGATTGCTCGAGAGCACAACAACTTGCCGTGACGTGTTTAGGTGGCTATGCAGCTGGAGCTATTGGCACTGTAATCTCTAATCCTGCTGATAATATTGTTTCATCCCTTTACAATAAAAAGGCTGCAACTATCCTGCAGGTACTGTGTTGAGATTCGAGAACTGAGTTCTTGATTTTACACTTGTATTGAACATTTGTGAAGAGTTATCATTTTGTTCTTTGGTTTATTATTCAGGCTGTGAAGAAAATTGGGGTTGCTAATTTGTTTACTAGAAGTCTTCCTGTTCGGTTTGCAATCGTGGGTCCTGTTGTTAGTCTGCAGTGGTTTTTCTATGACAGCATCAAAGTGTTAAATGGACTGTAAGTATGACCTTTTCAAATGCTTGTGGTTTTTTGCTACAATCAGTATGACTCTTCAAATGTTCACCAGCTGGAAGAAAAAAACTACACGAAACACAATATTAGTTGTTACTTAAAAATAAAGCTCGTATATATTACCATATTTGCTTTGATATGACCCGTTTACACTAGTAGTGTCATTTTACTTTTAGGTGCCTGGAACTTATCTTAAATCAATCAAACATCAACTGTAATTTTGAGCAGTGTATCAAACGATTTTGCTCTCTTCTTCAGCTTAGGAAAATGTAGGTTAACTTTTGTTCGTCAGGACCTTATTCTTTTCTGTGTTTATTTTCTGTTTCATTCAAGAAACTGTGTATTCTTTAAGTAATAGAAGAACTTCAGTTAATCATAGTGAACAAGGAAACTGTTTGATAGGCTTCCCCGCCAAATACTTGGATTCAAGATTGAGGCTTTGAAAATAAAAAACCAAAATCGGCTAATGGCCAATTATCACGAGAAGAAGTAAAATTTATTGACTATGCTATCTTGCCAGTTTCATCGAGTGTAAACAGTAAGTCACTTCAATAAATATGTAATGGCTATCTCCAATAAATTCCTTAGAAGTGCCATTAATCTTAATTATCCATTCCAACTTATGTTCAGGAGTGAATTTAATCACCAATTGTTTGTGCTGTTCAATTTTTCGAACTGTACAGGCCCACTAGTGGAGGGCTGAGAAGGCATCTGATAAATCCTGAATGCTAAACTGTAAAAGATGGTCGAACTTTTTTCTGCAGCGGCAAATCAACAGAGAGAGTGCTTTAGAGGATTTACATGGATGTGGTGACTAACATTAATGGTGCTTTGAGTTTTACCTGTTGGCATATTTCACCTTATTCTTTATCCGGTAATGAAAACAGAATATCCCGAGCTCATCTTTCCTCCTCGGTTTTGTATGATCTAAAGCTTGCATGCCTTGATATTCTCCTCCGGTCACCTAGTTTGAAGCCGGTTAGTGTTTGGTTATGAGAAAAATGCAGCCCATTTTGATGTTTATTCACTGAGGCTCTATTAGCTAGGAAAATGGTAAGAAAATATCTGTGTTTTGTGTTTGAAAACATCATAGGTGTAATTGTGATTGTATATAAATTGCAGATTATTATTTAGTACTTGTGTTAGAATGAACAGGATTCTGAATCTGTTTTTGCTGTGCCAGTTGTTTATTTATATAGNATATATTTTCTCGGGAGCATGCTTTGTAAGTCAAATGTTACCAAGTAATTTTGTACATATGTTACTCTTTCTACCCACAACAGATACTCTGCTGATTTGGTCATTTGGCACTATCTGATTATTCTTTTCGATACTCGGTTTATTTTCTTCTAATAATATATTTTTTTTAAACATCATTAGAGTTATATTTATGTTTATGTTATTTTTAAAAATATATAATCTTCACAAAATGTAGTATGATTAGATTGGCTGACTACAATAAAACATAATAATGCAAAGCAATCATTGTCCTACAAATGATAATAAAAATGCCACCATTACAAGTCTACAAGGTCAAACTTACTATGACTATTTATGTCATTCTCATTTGATTTGCGTTGCTTTAATTAATGTGATCTAATACAGTAATACCTACCATGACTATTTATACTATATATTTGATTTATTTTGCTTTAATATGCACCACGAGTGACAATTGAAATACAAAGAAAAAAGTTAAAAAATATATGTTTATATAACTATTTTATTTAATCATTGTGATGACGACGATACTGCATTAGCATATCTCGACAATTATTATTATTATTATTATTATTATTATTATTATTATTTATGTGGTATTATGTGGTATTGAGCTTGTTGTGTTTGAGCTTTTAAATCTAGATGGTTAGGACTTTGTAATAGGATTAAAACGTCTGTATGGTTTCATTATCTGGCAGTTGAATATCAGATTGAAAAAAAAAAGAAAATGTTCGCCGTTTTCTGTACAACTTCTGTACAATTCTCCCATCATTAGCTTCCATCTACATCACATTGTCAAGAAGGAGAAATAAATGTGGATTTGTTCCGAGTCATTTGATAAAAAAGTTGAATCTGAACTCGTATTAGTTTCATTTACATTTTTAGTTAACGAGTCGTGTACAACTCGATTTGTTAAAATTTTGTTATAACTTATAACTGATAATTATGAGTTTTCAAATAATTTTTATATACTTATAACATAATTTGGTTTATCAAGTCTTGAACTCAAATAATTATAAGAATCATAACAAGTTGAAATATTGCCCGTTTAACTAAACAAGTCAAGCTCAGTATTTATCAATTTTGTTATGGAGTCATTGGATGACTCAACTTATGGAGTCATCTACACTTATTCACCAATAGTATATTGACACGTGTCCTATAATAAATACATTAAATAGTAAATGACTCCATAAAAAAATAATCCGATGACTCCAAAATATTTGTAGTATTTGTAACATAATTTGGTTTGTCAAGTCTTCAACTCAAATCATTAAGAATCATAACAAGTTATTATTGCCCGTTTAACAACAAGCCAAGCTCAGCAATTTCGATAAGTGTTGTGGCCCCAAGCTCGACTATCAAAGTTCGATTCGACTCATTTATTAATTAAAGTGGAAAAAAGATATTTTCATATTTTGTTTAATTATCTTATTTTATCAATGGCAAATAGGAAAAATGGAGGTGGGAGGGCAACCGAGCTGGAGGAGAGAATCTTCCACATAACTTCCGATCATCTTCCTCAGACGTGATTTCAACCAAACACGCGCGCGCGTATTTTGCGCACGGGCAGGCATATCCCTATACCTACAAACACCCTTTTGACTCTCTCTCTCTATCTGTTTATTCTTTGGTAATTTTCTTACGTAATCTTTAGATCCGTTTTTTCTCTTAGCTCATTCGTTATCTAGTTCTCTCTCTTCCCCCAAGACAACCCTTTTCTCTTTCGCTCCAATTCTTCCTTTTTTTAATGCCCATCTGCATATATGATCTATGTATGTCTCCTTTTTTCGAATCCCTTGATGCGAAATTGCCTGTCTTAGTTGGATTTGTTCGTGCTTATTCCTTGATTATCATGTTATGTTTGCTGTTCAATTGTTGTTTCATGTTTGCGATGTCATTTCTGATTGTGATCTGATCCTCCTGTCTCCTTGTTTGCATTTTTTTTCGTTTTTGCCCTTTTTCTTGGTAGGCTACTCAGGAGCTGAGATTTCTGTATAAAATGGCAGTTTTTTTTTTTCATTTTATTTTTATTTTTTACATCTGGAAGTTAATGGAGAAGGATATTTGTTTTCCCATTCTCTCTCATTTTGCAGGATTGAAGCATTGCACAGATTGATGCTAACAAGAATCACACACGGTAAAATCACTCGATCGAAATCGAGCCCGGAATAGAAAGATAAAGGGGTTGAGCCGTTTCATGGGCAACACATGCCGTGGGTCAATCGGAGGCAAACCTTTTCCGGGCTACACTCAGCCCGAAGACCAACCCAATAACACCAAGCCCAAATCATCCTCAACCCGCTCCAACTCCTCTGACAGCCATTCCCATACGAGCCTTCTCCCTCAAGAATTCTCCAAGAACAGCACAAAAGATTCAAATTTTCCGCTTCCCGTCAGCCCAAGAAAAGATAGCACCATGAGCCGAGGCTCTACCAACCAAGCTTACTTCGTGCTCGGCCACAAAACCGCTAACATCCGTGACCTTTATGTCCTCGGCCACAAATTAGGCCAAGGCCAATTCGGGACGACTTATTTATGCACCGAGATCTCAACTGGCATCGAGTATGCCTGTAAGTCGATATCAAAGAGAAAGTTGATCTCAAAAGAGGATGTTGAAGATGTTCGAAGGGAGATTCAGATAATGCATCATCTTGCTGGGCATAAGAATATAGTCACCATTAAAGGGGCTTATGAGGATCCACTGTATGTCCATATTGTGATGGAGTTATGTGCTGGCGGTGAATTGTTTGACCGTATAATTCAAAGGGGGCATTACAGTGAACAGAAGGCAGCCGAGCTGACTAAGATAATTGTTGGGGTTGTTGAGGCATGCCACTCGCTCGGGGTCATGCACAGAGACCTTAAACCGGAAAATTTCTTGTTGGTTAATAAGGATGATGATTTTTCTCTCAAAGCTATTGATTTCGGACTGTCTGTTTTCTTTAAGCCAGGTGAATGAATGTTCAACGATTATGAGGGGTCCAGACTGGTTTTGGTTTGTTTTGTGTTTTTATTAACTTTCTGCATTTTTACTTTTACCTTTTCAGGTCAGATTTTCAAGGATGTGGTGGGGAGCCCATATTACGTGGCGCCTGAGGTTCTTTTGAAGCATTATGGCCCAGAAGCGGACGTTTGGACAGCAGGGGTTATAGTATATATACTGCTTAGTGGTGTACCTCCTTTTTGGGCTGGTAAATTTGATCTGCTAATTGAGTGTTTAATATTAATATCTTCTGTTGTGATGTAAGTCTGTAACTGATGTTTGATCTATGTTAATGCTTTCAGAAACTCAGCAGGGAATATTTGATGCTGTATTGAAAGGACATATTGATTTCGATTCTGATCCTTGGCCACTAATATCAGAGAGTGCTAAGGATCTTATCAGAAAGATGCTATGCATGCAGCCATCAGAGCGGTTGACTGCTCATCAAGTATTATGTATGTGAAATCTATTTCATTTCTTGGTACCCACTTGTATAATTTATTTTAAATGGTGTGAAATCTGCTTCATTTCTCTTGAGAATAGATAAATTAAGTTGGGGTTGATAAAGGTCTCTGCTTTATGTTTTGCAACATAAATTGTTGTGTCTGAACTTTTTTTTTTTTTGCACTAGAGATTTATCCCTTACTCAAACAGTTTCTTGAAAAGACAAATATGTTGCTTGTTGCATCTTTTTGCATGCTTGAGAGCATATATCAAATTAATTTTACCAAGGTATGAAAAATGTTATCTTGGTTTTTACTTTATGATTTATCTTCTGTCATTTTTCTCTGTTTGCTGCTGAGTAACAGTCTTGATATTTTTCTGACCCTTATTTATGTATAGGTCATCCTTGGATATCTGAAAATGGTGTTGCGCCTGACCGAGCCCTGGATCCAGCTGTCCTTTCTCGTCTCAAACAGTTTTCTGCAATGAATAAGTTGAAGAAAATGGCATTACGGGTATTTACCCACATTTTTAGCATTTTTCATTTGATGATTCTATAAGCTTTTCTCATTGTTTTATAAAAACATTTGCTTTATTTCTCTATTCTCAAAATGCATAACTCTGTATGGTGTTGCTTGCTGATGGAGACTTACTCACAATTACGTAGGAAAATGAGATTTTAATGGCAATCCTATTGTTTGTTTGTCCAGGTTATAGCTGAAAGTTTGTCAGAAGAGGAGATTGCAGGCTTAAGAGAGATGTTTACAACCATGGACACTGATAACAGTGGAGCAATCACATTTGATGAACTGAAAGCTGGTTTAAGAAAATATGGATCCACTTTAAAAGATACCGAAATACGTGATCTTATGGATGCGGTATATCAACTTTTTCCTTACTAGCTTATTTATTGGCACTGGAATTTATTTGGTGCTTCAATTTTGTCCATATACCTTCTAATTATTTTTGTTACAAAGTTACCATAGTACTTCATTTCTGTTCGGTGTGAATTTCTTGTAGAAATTTGAAAGTTTTTGCCCTTCTGTAAAAGTTATGTTTGTCAAATATCGATTAGTTATTACTTACCAGTCATTTATAGGATTCCCATACTTTGTTGTGCTTTTTGATTTTCTGACAATTTAATGGCATTGTTTTGATGAATTTTTTCTCTTCTGGCTTGCAGGCTGATGTAGATAACAGTGGGACCATTGACTATGGAGAATTTATAGCAGCCACAATTCATTTAAATAAACTGGAACGCGAGGAACATCTTTGGGCTGCATTCCAGTACTTTGACAAAGATGGAAGCGGTTATATTACAGTCGATGAACTTCAGCAAGCCTGTGTAGAACACGGTATGACAGATGTTCCTCTTGAAGATATTATCAAAGAAGTTGACCAAGATAATGTAAGTTCTCTCTTTCACATTTGCTGTTTATCTTGTTTTATATTATGCTTGCTATATACATTCTTTAAGAATGTTTCAAAATGCCAAGTTTGAGATCTCACATTCTTGCTATATACCATAGTTCACATCAGTTATATTGGCTGTAAATTATCATTTTCCGAAAGTTACCAATTGTGAAGGCACAGATAAAAATATTCTAAAGCAATGATATTTCGAACTTGTTGAATGTACCATTATAAGTTGTGCATACTCGTGTAAACGCAGGCCAAATGCTAGACTGTCATCTGATTTTGGTCATTGT